TTATGTATCTTTCGATACATAACTGACGAGGCAAATTTTTTTTCCCGCAGTAGGCTGCCATTTCTTTCTGCGATAGACCAGTTACCATCCAAGCCTATAGAACCCGGTCTATTCTGCTATTTATTCATAGTCAGTCAGTTATATGCCATGCGTGATACACGCTTAGGCGATCATAAATTTGGATTAAAACCTTAAATAGCCCCAACGTGGGTGCTATGCAAAAATCCCAGAAATTCAGAAGTCACTGTAGAGTGAGTGACCATGATTAAATGTAAATAAAAATTCAGAACTGCCCAACAAATAGATTTAACAAAGTTTGCAATAACAAGAAAAGGGAAAAGAACAGGGGAAAATTATATAAAGCAAACAAACAATATATGCAAAGTAAATTAACAGTAATGAGGCAAAGCAATAGTAATAAGTTCGCAAACTAAGAATTGGGGTTGACACACAGGAACAAATTCGGATAAGCGAACGTGACGTTCTGACTTCCAGACACAACAGACTGGAACTGAGTCATATGAAACTGAGAACTGTACTGTTTTATTGGCGAGCAAGAATTCTCAGCATGCATTTGTGTACTTCTGCCTATAAATCGGGGGATGGGAAAGTATTTTTTTTTTTTTTTTTTTTTTTTTTTTTTTTTTACTTTTTTTTTTTTCAATCATTCCCATTGTTGGTGTTTTAAGTGGATCCCTGTGAGTATGTGGTATGAGGTGGCTTGAATGGTGAGGGGTGAGTTCTTGTGGTGAATGAGTAATTGTAATGAATGAATGGGTCATGAAACTGATTAGCTAGGTTTATGATAGTTGGTGTAAGATCAGTCTCACCCACTTTTCCTATTGAATTTGTGCCGCAGTTGTATGAAAATTAAATAAATATACATTGCCATTGTGAGATTGTAAAAACATACACCGTATTTATTTGGTAGATGATCCCTTTAATGAGGTCTCAGTCTTCGGATGCAGACGGCGTATTCTAAGATTCATAGTGTAACGGAATATTGTCTCCCATTAGAAAGAAAATCACAAATAATGTACAACATGAAAGGCTCAAATAAAAATGAATAAAAAAAAATGAAAGGGCATAAAAGAGAGGGATGAGTAGATGTTAAACAGTAAACTGATTTAAGTGAGAATCATGGATGATGTCAGACTGACATAGATAGATAGATAGATAGATAGATAGATAGATAGATAGATAGATAATTGTCGGAAGATGGGATAAAGAAAGATGTAAAAGAAAGGGTAACTTTTGAAATTGAAAGAGAAAAAGAAACAAATATATAAGGTCGATTGATTGAGGTTGGGAGAGATATGTCAACAGAGAGAGAAAATAGAATAGTGATTGCGATAGGGAGGAGAATAAAATAAGAAAAAGAAAGTTAAAAACGGAAATTAAAATTTCTCAACTGGATAAAACCAGATTGAACCAGTCGTATGTCACTCAACGAGATGGCTTTCCGCTACCGACACCATTGCAACATTAATAACCTAAGTTTCTCTTCTCTTCAGCTATGTGCCGTTTCTCTTGTCCTCTTCTCTGCAACAATAGAACAATTTATTCAAAACCACGATCATAAACACGGTCACACACACACACACACACACACACACACACACACACACACACACACACACACACACACACACACATATGTATGTGTATGTGTGTGTGTGTATGTATGTATGTTTAGGCAACATATTTTCATTCAAGCAGGTTTGGTTAAATAATTTAATAAATGTATTACGTCTAAATAGAGTATTATACTGTAATCCAAGGGTGGGCAAACTTTTCAGTCTAAGGGCCACATTCAAAAATTCACAATTGGGCCGCATAGTATATTAATCCAAAATAATTAATATTTAAAATGGACAAAAAAAAAAGGCTTTTAAAGAAAAAGTGCAATTAATTTTTATTAATTAATATTTTAAAGTACTATAGAAGATTCATATGAAAAACATTTATTTGAAAGACAAGGTCACTCAGTTTAAAGTACCTTAAAGAAAAAATATTAACAGGCATTTTTAAGTTGAAGATTTACATTAAACACATTTGAAAGACAAAATAACCTTGTTTTAAGAACAAATTATTTTTATTAATATTATAAAGTAGAAAACGTATTTATTTGAAAAACAAAATAACTCAGAAACAGAAGAATCTCAATGACTCAATAAGAATAATGTATCTGACGACAGTCATTTATTAGTTTCTTAAAATTAGGCGTCAAATTGCTTGTAACAATTATTTGGCGTTGTTTGGTAACTTTCTCTTTCAAATTTACTAACATGAATTCTTTTGGACCGCGGACCGTTGTTTGTCCACTCCTGCCGAAATCAAATGCATTTTAACTATAAACAGGAGGAAAAATTCTAAAAAGACTCATAAACACTGATATATCCCCCACAGGTCTAAGTAAAAAATAATAAAATTAGATTACTGTAGTAAATTTAATACAACAAACCTAGTCATCCATAACAACTCTTCTCTGTCAACTAGTGCTTTACAAAAGACCAACATCGTATATCAATTTAAATGTCCTTTGAGAGATTGATAAAACATCAATACATATGTTGGTTTTGTAAAACCAACATATGTATTGATATTTTGTTGTAACAACGACGTTGACGAGAAAGCTTACGTTTCATTCGAATGAGCATAATTCAATCTCAGAACATTTTAAAATGACGCTCATATCCACATTCACATTTTAGACAGATATTAGTCGGAAATACACCAGTATTTCCTCAAGATAATCATAAGCAAACACTTGAAATTCTGGGAACCCTTTCTTCATATAAGACAAATAAATAATGTCAACTATGAGTGTAGCAGCAAAATTCCTAAATGTTTGTAACAACAAAGTTTTTTTTATATAAAAATACTAAATTAAAATATTATAACTATTTTTTTTCTTTTTTAAAAAAAATTATAAAAGCCGTCTCCTTTGCAAAACTGAAAGAAAAATTTTTCATTTGAAATGCTGCGAAAGAACGGTGAAAATATATTTGGGATTTACGGAGCTACTGTATACACATCCACAGATATTTTAACCCCCTGAAGATGGACCTAGATGAAATTGAAAGTACTATATATATATATATATATATATATATATATATATATATATATATATATATATATATGGAATACCTTGCCATTTTCTTCTAAACTACCAGCATTAGGAACTATACAAGGACATTGCCAGAGAAACAAAACTGAGCCTGTGTTCCTTATTCTGTCATATATATATATATATATATATATATATATATATATATATGATTCACTATCCGGATTCTCCGACAATCACTCCATCCACTCGGCAATTGATATAAAGTAAGTTTTTTTTCTTCTTTTATATCCCACGTGGGTAAAAATATAGGAAAAAGAATTTGAAAATGCTATGGAAAGTTGAAAATACCTATGCCATGACATGTTTTGCATCTGATGCGAGACATATCATGGCCTAGCCACACGCCTCTCCACTTCAATTTAACTTTTGAAAATCATAGAACCAGTAAAATTACTCTGAAATATTCTTAGACTCCAGGTGCATTTTCAACTTCTTTTATAGACAGGCGCACACACAAACCTATCTATCTATCTATCTATCTATCTATCTATCTATCTATCTATCTATCTATCTATTTTCAGATTGCGATGGGTAAATTGTCGCCATTTTATATTTTTAATTTCGTGCGTTCGCGTTTTTTGTTTTTGATTTTGTCGACTGCACAGTATAGTGGGTGTCAGTTGGGCACCGAGAAAAACAGCACCTAAGGCGCAATGTACTCCGCCAGAAATTTGGAAACGACATGCTGTACTGTTTGGCATTCGTACCGGAAGCTCCAATAACGAACATTTCAGAATGTTTGGCTGTCAACCTGAGGACAGTGCAGAGGATTCGAAAAGAGTTGGATGAGTCTAATGGTGATTACGAAGGTACAGCAGCTCAGAAAACTCACTCTGATCGTTCTGATAAGAAAAGAACTCCCGAATTTGTCGATGAGGCCTTCGGACTCAACACGAAAGCCTACATCAAGTGCCTTGAGGAGGTAGTGCTGCCCTAGGTCAAGAGGGTGGCTGTTGTAAGACCCTATGCTGGCAACAGGACTCTGCACCATGTCACACAAACAAGAAAACCCAGTCATGGCTATCAGATAATTTCTGCGACTACATTATCCCTTAGATCTAACCCTCTAGTTCTCCAGACTGCAACCCCTTGATTATTTTGTGTGGGCTCAGTAAGAGGTCACCAAAACACCTTGTCACGCCAAAGATGAACTGAATGTAATGATTATGGGAGCATTCACCAACTCAAACAAGGAGACCATGCAGAAGAGTTGCAGGAGATTCCGAAGTTGTCTGGAGGTTGTGGTTGAAGACTAAAGCTACTCAATTTTTAATTGATTTTCTTCTCAATTGTAGTCTAGATTATCTCCAAAAGTTCCAACTTACCAATTCCAAAATTTTATAACACAGGGTTTTTGAAAATATTCCAGTGTGTCACCACGGATTTTATAACCAGATAATCTAAAAGATGACATTTGAAAAATGTAGCGTAGGTGGAATTCTGAAAGTATTTTTAACTGTACTGATTAACACTTCAAGTCTCTAATCCAAGTCGATATATTGGTTATTATTCAATGGTTTTTTTTTTTCCTATGCGTTTTCCCCCTCGATTTCTGCCTCGGGTCATTAGGATTTCTGACGTCATATTGGTTGGGTTTTGTTAAGGAATCACGCCAATTCCTCCTGAAAGTCTAATTATCTTCTAGCGTTTCTTCTGAGAACATTCAATTACTTCGTGTAATTGGAATCGAAAGAAAAATGAAAAACTGGATATTTTCGGTCCGTAAAATGGATGAATTGTAATCCGGGCATTTTGCGTCAAGGCTTTATTTACACTGTTGTTCTAAAATTCCATTTCCTTCTGAAAAATAAATAAAAATAAATAAAAGTGTTTATAATTAGAAGAAAAAAAAAATAAAAGAAGCTTACGGCCATATTATGTTGAAACACCGGTTCCAGTACGACCACCGACGTTAAGAAACGTCGAGCCTCGTCAGTAACTGAATGGGTGATCGTTTGGGAATAACAGGTGTTGTAAGCTTGGATGTGCGGGTGGTGTAATGGATAACGGTGTAATTGGAAATCGGAGAAACGAATTCATTCAGTTATGGGTTAATTAGTAGGATTTGTATCCGTAAATCATTATTATCTCCAAAATAATCTTACAATCTAAAACTATTTTCTGGCTTTAAATAACTTCCGAAAGGTTGATATACTGTCTGACCGTCGATCTCATTGAAAAAAAGTCTATGCTTCCTACTGATGCTATCCTCTTATATAGGAAATGCACCTTGAAAGTTAGAGACAAATAACAAATATATCTTTCAAAAGGGGAAATGGATAAACAAAATACATTTAAAAGAAATGCACAAAGAAAACAATTGAAACAAACTCAAAAAAAAAAATGACAAAGCGATACATGATGTCTTAGAGAAGAATTTCAAAAGAAGGCTTGAAGCAACAGAAATGTCGTTCTGCAGAAGGATGCTGAGGATACCATGGGCCGAACATGTGAGCAACTACGAGGTTTCGGTGAGAATGGAAACTTATACTTAGAATCAGGAAGAGGCAGTTAAAATTTCTGGGGACCGTAATAAGGACGGAAGGCTTGGAAAATCTGATACTCATAGGAGAGATTGAGGAAATCTGCGTGTAATATACTTGATGTGCTTGTGCAAATAGATGGCAGAACAAGGCTTGGTAGAAATAAAAAAAGACAAAACTTATTAAGTGCTACAAGGGACATGAAAATGTGGAGGACCATTATCACCTACATCCTGAAAGAGCAAGCATATAATTAACGCGTTGCCTATTTGACCGTCAGTAGCTAAAGAACAAAGAGTAGTTTCCTTTCCACTTAGAGGTCACGTGATAGCAGAATTGTATAAATTACTTACATATGTATATATATATTACTAGCAGTATGGCCCGGCGTTGCCCGTGCTTGATTCAAAAATCGTACGACTCATACAGCAATAGTTATCACTTGACTTAAAATATTTTTGCCCTTCCTTGCCTTTAAAGGAGTGCCGTTTGCCGTGCTGATGTTGCTACATGCCTTACTTCTTGCCTATCTCACACTGCGAATTTTTTCTAAGCTCTATACAAAACATTAAATCTGTTACGAAAAAAGAACTAAACAAAATGAACACAAAACGATCAGCTTTAAAAAAGGACTCGTAACGGGAAAAACCGAATGAAAAAAGAATATTAACAACAAATACTTTTTCACACGCACCCCAGTTCTGCGGAATCAGAATCACCGTTGATTTTAAGCAAGCGAATGAGCCAATTGGAGTAAAGTGTCATGCAAATTTAGATTTTCCCCACTTGTGACGAATGCAGCTATCGATTTTTTTTTTTTTTTTGCATGCTAGCATGCTAATTAACATTCATGTCAGTCAGCTGTTGGCTCTCACGCTGGCCAATAGAATCTTCCTGCCTATTCGTGGCAGCCAGCGATAGGTTCTCACTCTTGACAGTACAAAATGGCCGCAAACTACATGAAAACTGCCGTAGAAGCATGAAAAAATCGATTGTTTCCACTATCGATGGGAGTTGGGAAATGCAAAGTCGGTCTTGGCCTTTCCGTTAACTTGGAGAATGTGAATGTAAATTTTGGTGCAAATCCATCGAAAATTGTGGCCGTGCATTCATTACACACACACACACACACACACACACACATCCTGCCTTTTATAGATAGAGATGAAATTGACTAAGCCTGTCTATTAATTTAATATATTTTCTGTTTATACGTTATTTTTATAGATACAAATATTTAAGTAAATGCTCTGTTTATAATAAACAGTATGAACGATATTTACTGGCATGAATGTCCGAGAAATATTGTAGAAAATATTTGTCCTCCGACAGGAATCGAACATTCGATCATTGATTTTTGTTCTTTCTTTTTTTATTTTACTTTTAATGTTACATTTTCATTTACTTCATAGAAATCCCTCGATTAATGCGCATCCGATTAATGCGTTTTCGATTAGTGCGCTAAAATTTTATATACGAAAATTCGATTAGTGCATGCATAATACTCGATTCGTGCAGTAAAACATTCTTCACGTGGACCATAGTAGTTGAAAATTGATTTTTATTTTTATAGTTACCGATGTACACATTAGCGGCACTAATCTAGAGATACCTGTATACAAGTCTGGGAAGGCATATACCGGTCCCTTCGGAGACCGTTACAAAATGTAAAAACAAATCAATATTAGAATTTTAAATAATATTTCATTTTATTTTATTTATTCATTCATCATGTCCTTTATAATTAATTCAGCTGCGAGGTGCCTGGAACTTTCCTTATTTCATTATCAATGCCAAAATAAAATAACCGAAATAGTGCATTTTATCAAGGACAAGGACTCTTCACAACGAAGAAGCCCACACACTTGACCAGAAGCGCCTTTCTTCGCGGCTCAAAGTAGATTGAGACGGACGATATCTGGCAAACCTGGTTTCTTCGGGCTGTCGGATGCTTGCCTTAACAATGTGGTCCGTTTTGGTTACGCCAGCAAGTACCTGGCTCTTCCTGTTATCATTTAACTTTACAAGGACTATAACAGGTCGAAAATAGAGTATTCCTGTCCGCAGTTAATAGCAGGACAAATAGGTCTTTGGCTGGTAACCAGTCTAGGAGAAGTACAACTCTGAATTCGAAACGGGTTGGGCGCGAGGCAAGTGTTGGATTGACGCCATCTGACAATATAATAAGGCAGAGAAATATTGAATTACTGCCACCTGACGATATTTAGAAGCGGCGTGAGATTTGAAAGAGTCTCCCTCTTTTCCTTGATGATTCAGTAGCGACAAGATGATCTATTCTCGATCCTGTCGGCAGAGACAGATACTGAAGGTTGCATTGAATTCTTCGCATTTAATTTAATTTCTCATTTTCCCATTGACCAATCGTCATGGACGTATGTTACGTCAGGGAGACCCCGTGACTTGAGTGCCTATTGGACATGAAAGACAAACCAGACCTCAAGTGAGGCTCGTACATAGGATCCATCGTAAAAGATTCTGAAAAAATAGTCGATTGCCTGTACCGCTCCAGCAATTACCTGGCTCTTCCTGTTATCATTTAACTTTACAAGGACTATATCAGGTCGAAAATTGAGTATTCCTGTCATATATCGGCGGGAGCTTGTTGGAATTTTTGTATACACTGTACCAGTGAGCCAGTCAAAATGAGCTGACTCATTTTATAGTTCACCAATAGAAGGGTTAACCAATCAGAAGGCTTAGAATATTCAATGCGACGTGTATTAAAGGCAGCCGTTTTGTTTTGTTTTTTTCCAAAAATACCTTCACTGTCAACCTACGATATCAAAGATCTGAAGAATTACTTAACAGCTGCTACTTTCTCCGAATATTCACTGCCAACCTCTGATATCGAAGACCTGAAGAATTATTGAACAGCTGCTACTAGTGATATTGGTGTTGTTCCATTGAACACATTACGTACTGCACTGGATTCTATATTCAAAGACTACGGCAAACATGGTCAACAGAGCTGCCCAGTTTTTTTCTTTCCACTCTCGACAGACTCCAAAAGCATCTCTACGTCCTTGTAGGTGATAAATTATTTTCTACCCTGCAACCACTTTCTCACAGACGAGACGCCGCAAGCCTCTCACTGTTCTAACGCTATTTCCATGGAGAATGTTCAGATGATCAACTAATTTCTTTAGTCTCACCAGTCCTAACCTTCACAGCTAAGACTCGGCATATAGAGAACCATCCTCATTCCCTTTATATTCCCCTGGTGAGATGTAAGTTCCACTGAAGAAGCTTTTTCCAAAGAACCACTGCTCTGTGGAACCGACTCCCAAAAGGCTGCTTCCACGATCATTACAATCTTAACCTATTCAAGCCTCGAGTTAACCGTTTATCTACAACACATATCCGCATAAATTATACCTCTAGCTCGAGTGGCCTCCAGGCCTTGTACATGGTGAACACCACTTTAAAAAAAAATGTCCGTTTGATATATTTATTAACATTTGTTTGTTTAAATTCTATGTCTTGTGTGCGTTATTTTTACCCGGACTCAACGCGAATCCGCCAATATTGTTTGCGGTACAAATTTACCAGGAGCACTAAACATTTACTGAAAAACGTCCACACCTCGGATCAAATATGTCGATTCCCTCAACACTCGCAAAAACCTACTTGCGACCGAAACTGCAACAGCAACGCTCAGCGATAAAAATCATAGATTATTCGTGCAGAATATATAACCAAAATTAATTTAAGAAAATATCCTTATTATTTTCATGAATCGCACAGATACTACACTGATCTTGTATTGCGTTCCATGTCGTTGCTGGATCCCAACGGTACCGCATAGATGGTATTAACAAAAAGACAATTCCTTTCACTTGTTTTTATTAGACTTGGGTTCTTGGGTTTTATAGTAGCAACGGGAGGAAAGACCAGTGAAACTCATGCCACTCGTTGGCTTAGCGTTAGAATTCTGGTGGCCTTACTGTTCAATTCGCATCGTTTTGGCCTTATATCCAAAACTCAGACAAAACTCTTCACTGTCAGAATATCACGCCCACTATATATTCTGACTAATCGCTGATCTGGCTCTGGCCTTCTCATTCTGTAACACCTAATCCTGAGATCGTGATATACAGTTTTAATAATTAAGGAAGCTGGGAGAAGAAGAATTGGATATGGTAAATTATGCTTCTGAGCAACATTCCTATTTATTTCCGATCAGTTTTGACCCCAATATTCCGTGCTTTTTTTTTTACAATGATATTCACCCTGTACAAGACCTCAGAGTTACTCGAGGTAGAGGCTTGCATATTAAGGGACATGGTTTATAGGGATATGTGGTGAAGATAACGGTTGCCCCTAGACATGAAAAGATTAAAAGTGTAGTGATCGGGGAAGCATCCTCTTGGGAGTTGGTTTCACAAAGCATCGGTTCGTGCAGAACTTACATCTCACGAGGAGATATACAAGCGAACGGTGCCTCATTTAGTACATAAGAACGGTGCCTCATTTA